GCCAATGGCTGCGAATGTGGCTCTGCCAAACAGCAGAGAGGACCAACGACATCTAATTAAACAGAACTAAACACAACGTGCGACTCCCTCACCGACCTCCAACATGTGCCCAGGCAAAGCAGATTTCAAGTTCTGAATAGATGATATCCAGCAACTGATGAAATAAACCCAGATTCTAAGTGGTGGGGTAACCGAGCTCTAGGCAATCGATAACTCATCCTCTACTCGAAGGCTTTGTACATTTTATGTACGACGTCATTTCAAATGCTTTTCTACGGGCCTCATTTTTTAAAAATCCCAAGTCAAACAAAATTACTGCTGTGTTAGAGGTTATACACATTAAAAACGAATCCAGTATTTTTGTTCTCAATAGTAGTGTCGCTCTCCTTTATTGCTACTTCTCCTCCTTTTTGATTTGCCACAGAAAGATAGGAAGGGGAAGGAAGACCAAGAAAACATAAATGAAAGTAAGAGATGCAGTCTGCGCTTCATATTTGGAGTGTTATTCCCTTGCCCAAAAGATAATTGTAATAGCAGAAATAGTTAAAATAATATTGTATTTAATATAATAGATATTAAAAGAATCTATATATTTTATGAAAACATTATTTTAATAGTTATCTATATTATATTTACATATTATGGAAACAGAGAGAGAGAACGTGCCATTAGCCCTATCAAACTGGCAAAACGCCCCTTGACCAACCTCCACGGCCCCTTCCAGCTCCTCTCTCCAGTCACCACTCCCATTTTTTCTCCCTGAGCTCCACCTGGCTGGGGCTGCTGCTCAGACCCAGGGAGGGGAATCCAGGTTCTTTTGGTCTCCCTCCTGTTCCCCCTTGCAGTTTACAACAGCAACATTTTCACTCCCCTTATTCTTGGCCCTGTCTCAATGGGGCTTCCATGTACTTTGATTTAGAATTACATTCGTGGACGTCTTTTGAGCCTCAGGCTTGGGAATGGCTCTCTGCCCGTTTCAGCCCCTGCAGCCTTTACACGTACCTGTTCCTCCTTCCTCCTCCCCCCTCTCGTTCCTTCTGTTCATCTTCCTCCTCACCTCCGCCCTCATCAGCTGCACCATTTTCAATAACCCCGCTGTAAACTGCTCAATTCCACCAACACAAAAGCTACTAAAGCTTCAGACCCGGGCTCGACGAGACTTATTTTCTTCCAGCTCTAGTTTTTTTCCAGAAAGGTTACCCCAACCACAACTAAGACACGTCTACTTGCCCCAAGGTACTGCCAACAGCTCACACTCACGTCCCTTACACCATCTCTGTAGGAGAAAAGAAGTCTGGCAAATAGTTTAACCCACAGGTTTTTGCTAAGGCAGCTGACCGGGGCTCAAGGGAGGTGGATTGCCCCCACACAAGCTGGGAGGGAGGAGCAGCTCCCGTGGGAAAAAGGTCAGGAGCTTCAGCAGCTGCAGCCTCAGCATCCCCAAACGCGCACTGGGAGACGTGACACTGAAATGTGAGGAGGATGATGAAGATTCGTGAATGAAGAGCAAAGAGCCAAGCTCCTTTGGCCACTTGTGAGCCAAAGCCAGAAGAGCACTTAGCAGCAGGCCTGTTATTTCAGACAAAAAGCCCGAGAATCTTCCACAGAAGAGTGGACGCAAGAGCTCAACTTGAAGGCAAACACCGCAAATTGAAACAATTATTCAGTGCTGAAATCAAAATTATCCCCCCACATATTACCTTTCTGAGCAGTATAAAAGCTCTCAAGGAGAACGTTTCCTTCAGTTTCTCTCCTGCTTAAAAAAAATCAGAAGATTAAGAGACCTTCTAAACCTTGAGTTACCTCATTAATGGTACAACTGATAAGATGAACAGCAAAATTTTAAAAATTTTGTTATTAACTGCTTTTAAAAATTTATAGCCGTAATATTTATAATAGTACTCTCAAGATTAATAATTCTGATTTGCCAACTCCCCATCACAAATCATTTCTCACACCCGACTTCCCCAGAACTTCACCAAGAAAAAAATGGAAGATATATCTGGAAAATTTTTGAAGTAAAAAGGAAAGACTCCACGTGCATTCATAAATTTTTTATTTCGAATCCAGCTCTTGGTTTACATTGCACATGAAATACCAGCAATCCTGTAAGCATTCAGGATTGGCAACGTCCATTAAGTCCCAAAACTGAATTCATCACACTGATGCCAATGTGTCAGTTAAATACAGACCACAAACTTAAATAAACCAGGGAGACAAAAAAAAAAAAATATTGGAAATAGCAAGATTCCTATAGTCTCTTACAAAAACATCATCCAGAGTTATACCCTGCCTAAAGAACAAGTGGCCCCAAAGTCTCGGGGATTCCCTCCCATTCCAATTTCCGGGCAGATCGAGATGGTCCAGTCCCTTGTTAAGAAAGCCAGATCTTGGCCGTTGTGCAAACTCTCCCTCAGAATGTACCGGCAAAATCCCATTAATCCAAACGAACCTCTTGCTGCTGCCGAGACAACTTTGCAACTATGTGTAAAGCTTAGCACCTGACATAGTACACTCTCACCCCAGCAATATTAAGCCGTAAAGGCTGAAGAACATGTTGGCCATGGTCTGTTGACGCCGTATTCAAGTTTGCTGCGTCTGGTGAACGCCGGCAGGATACTTTGCCCTCGGATTAAGTCCCTGCAGCCTCTCCTCCACACGGCCAGGCCTATGTTCAACCACTTGTTTGAGTGAGTCCTAACACGGTTTGAAAGAGCAGCTCCCCATTAGCTGCTTCTGCAGGTTCTTCAGGCACTGCCTTCGACAGCATCACCTGCCGCACGGGTGGCTAAAACACACACAGACGTTACCCACAAACCCATGTTAAGCTCCTGGCACCAAAGCCATCAGTGCAAGACGGTCGTGCTGTCTCTGAACGATTCCCAGATAAATAAATCTGAGTTTCCATTTGGACCTCAGAATGTCAGGTTGTCACGGAAGGAAAAAGCAGAGACGTATGACTCTATGCAATGAATAGGATTTAAAATATTTGCCTCTAAAACCTGGCAAACTGTGACCAAAGATTTTACACTGCTTTTTTTTTATTAAAACAGTTTTTATTAAAAATATTATCAAGTATCTGTACACTGTTCATAGTTAAACGTCTTCTTTATTTTGAGTTGGTTAATTCAAACTCAGATTTAAGTTCCATACAATTTTTTCTTTAAAAATCCCACAAGCTACAAAAATCCGCACGCACAGAAATACAGGAAATTGTATTTCTCAGGGTCTTTTTTCATGTCAAGAAGTGCAAATTTGCTTCTATGGTTCTTTACAAAACAGTTGTATCCACCAGTAACACAACACACTACAGTAAGAATTGCACCAAGACACACAAGAGCCGCTAAGGTATCAGCTCCATCTGGCCTCTCCTATGCACTGCTTAGCGTCGTGAGAGATTTATATGAAAATGAGGCTTACAGAACTCATCTCTAGCAGCACAGGCAGGTCAGTAAATGCACCTACACTCTGTGAAACTGCCTACGACTGTTGGAGAATGGAAGTCAATAATATCTACAATTACACCAGTGAAATGTTTACATTTACTGTAACTGTTTTGCTTTTGCATACAAATGTAGGCTCTGCTTCAAGCCACCAAGACTGTGTGATTGTACTGCAAGTCTATCAGGGGAATATATTCTCAAAAAAATCCATAATTTAACATAAAACTCTGGTTTTCATCTCACTGAACTTGATTCTTGCACACATCCTTCTGGCCCCACTTAAGACAACAGAACTATTCTCCTATTTTTTTACCGCCAGAAGCACCAATATTTCAGCTCCAGAGGGAATTCTATAAAGAAATCTGCTTTGGCTTAATGTTTCCTTCACTGAAAATAGTGAACTACGCTGCTGGCTTTGGAAAGATTTTTACAAGTTTTCTAGACTGACTCTTCAACAGGTTGAGAAAAAACCAAATATTAACAGATTAGGCTTTTAATGACTCCAAAAACAGTCCCTCGGGACTTCATTTCCCTCCAGCTGTAGCTGAAGCGCATCCTATACATCTTAGCATTTGTCATAAAAAAACCAGAAGTCCATTCCCTTTAGCATCCTCAAGAAGACTCAAGTTTTATCCCAATTTGCTCATTTTTTTCCAATTTCAGAGTGCTGTTTTACGTGAAAAAGTAGGGAATACCCAGATTAGCTGATATTTTAAGTATTCAACCTGCTTTGAGATAGAAGAGTGACTAAACCTGAGCAGACCTGTCATATTTATCATTTAAAACTGGAGGGAGAAGAGTCAAAGTTTATATTTAAATGCAAAAAAACCCCAAAACATAAGACTTACTGCCTTCTAACTTTAAAATACTTCTCAACTAAGTCTGCAGTGTTACACCAAACAACAAAAGTTAATGCTTGCTTAACCACTTAATTCTTGCAGCCACTCTTAAACAAACATCTTCGTCCGGCAGGGACGTGGATGTTGGTGGAAAGGCAGTAACCAGCCATCCCAAAACCACTGCATCACCTAACTCGACTGCAAACGGCATCCTGGGCAGTGTCTTACAACAGGAAGGCAATTCCTATTCAGATTTTTCCTTACAGGTACAGAACGACAGTATAGTTCATTCCCAGAGAGATTATACTGAGAAACCAAGCTCTAACACACCCCCATCTCTAGCGCTTCCTCACAGAAAATTAAGAAAACGTTACTACACGATTGCTACCTACCCCAGAAAATCTTACCTGAAATGGATGGACGTATCTTTTTATAAGGACAAGTAATTTCCGAATTTGGAATGCAGAAATACAGTGCAAAAAAAAATAAAAAACCCAAAAAGAGCTCTGAAAAATAGTTTTTACATATAAAAACCTCCCAGAATTAAAGAGTAGGATTATGAAGATAAAGTATGGTGCCAAGAAGTGGTTTGACAAGTTAATAATGGGATATTTCCCTCGTAGAGGTTTACGCATTTCACACCAGCATTTTGCTTTATGTTGTTACAATATTTTTACGGAGTATTATTTAAAAATAATATTTCAGTCAGAAGTCTGATTTAGAATTCATCATGTTTTACCCTAAATGGCCACTTGGAATGCTGCGAAACATGATTTGCAGCCAGAAGCACCAAGTACATAAATTCTTCCACGTCAAAGGAGTAGTTTGTAAATTTTGGATGTTCTCCCAGAGTTGGGTGGTGTCCCTAGAAAAATGAAATAAGGCCTTTTAGACAGGAAAGAAAAAAAAACCAACATACATCTTCCATTCAAAAAGCAAGGAAAAAAAACTGAGCATCTGCCATTTTAATTTATTATTTCTGATCCACTGATCTTCTCTGCAGCAAAAGAGTCAACAAAGTAACTGCGTAACAGCAATGCTACGGATGGCTTGGATTAATGGCCAATTAATTTCATGTCTCTTCTTCCCTCAGCCATTAATATCAAATGATTTCTTACTCACAACAGGGAAGTTAATTTGGTCTAGAGAATGAAAACCATATTTCAAGTATCGGAACATAAAGAGGCAGAACAAGATAACCTTTAAATTCTTCAAGCCATAGCACCCGCCCTTCCAGCAGTGGCCATCGTTACCTGATCTTGAGGGAATACTTTATTCCTTTTTCGCCACGTGATGTAGTGAACGCCTCTCAGCCTTGCCAGATCCAGGTAGCAGCGCTCATCTTCACAATTGTACCTCAGGGCAAGCAGAAAAAATGTATTTTACCTAGAGAGGTTGTGCTGAAGTTTACCAGGGTGAAACAGGCAAACAAAACTTCAGGCCAAAACATCGGGTGTCCAGTTCTAGGGCTCCAAAACCACAGACAAGTTCTACTTTGCTGAAGACAACAACAAGTCCTCTGAAGACAACAAGGGCTACCATCTGTTCTTAACATGTGGCCTAGGTGGCAGCAGCTCTTGGGGACAGGTTTTGGAACTCTGAAGCCTGTAGAAAACCTTCTCAAGCCCAGCTGAGGCTGCAAAGCACCAGCTCGGCAGCCTTCACACAGCAGAGGCTTTAGTTTGCCTGTCGCAACAGGGCAAGGGTTAATAGTTTTAAAATAAAACTGGGTGGATTTAGACTAGATCTAAGGAAGAAATTTTTTACATCGAGGGTGGCGAGACGCTGGCACAGGTTGCCCTGAGAAGCTGTAGATGCTCCATCCCTGGGAACACTCAAGGTCAGGTTGGACAGGGCTCTGGGCAATCCGGTCTAGTTGAAGATGTCCCTGCTCGCTGCAGGCAGGTCATCCCTTCCAATCCAGACTATTCTAAGATTCTATAAAAATACGTTAAAATGAAGCTACTAGAGAAATTTAGGTAAAACAGAATGACACTGAGCTAAGCTGGGCCAGCAAGCTGGTGCTCATGTCCTGAGCATAGATCAGAGTCTGCAGATAACCTTCAGGGGGATCTCTAATGCCCTGAACATGCATCTTAGAAAATTCATTCATCTGGATCACCAAGATACCACTAACTCTCATACTTGCCAGGCAGAATCTGACCAGTGAGGCTTTCTCTTTTTTGCCATTTTCCTCAAGCAAGAGGCTGCATTTTATTTATGCCACAGCATCTTAAGAAATCCTTGGCCAAACCTGTATGATACAGTTACTCTATATTTTATAATCCCTTTTGATTCCCAGAAAAGACCGCCAAAAACAAAGTACAGGTGAGGATGCAAGACAAACATTCACAGCCAAATACCAGCACAGGAAAATGTTTCATTTAACATGTATGAACAGACATTAGCAGTTGTGGTATAAGAGGGTAAAAAAGGGAGAGAAACAGACTTACAGTTCAAAAACAACAGCCCAGTCTGGTAGAAAAAGCAAATGGGTAAGTCCGGCTCCGTGCATCCCAATGAATATATCAGAGTTGTGGGTAATTCTCAATTGCTCTGAAAATTCAAGTTCCCTGCAGACAACACAACACAAATGGTGAGCCTATCCATCTTAGCAAGAATTAGTGACACGTAGAAATCTCAAAATTAACTTAAGGGAATACTGAAAGAGGGAATTGATTTTTCAAGGAACAATGCTAATAATCGCAAATGCTGCAGCCAGCAATAACTCAGCGTGGAATTAAAAGAAATGCAAACGGGTTTCAAAACTTCACAAGAGTCTGTTCCAAAAATTTCATTTATCTGTTTTTCACGAGTGAAAAGTTTTTGAAAGTTTGGAGAGTTATTTTACTCCCCTTTAAAAAAAAAAATTGTACGACCTCCTTTAAAAAAAACAACATAAAGGACCTAAACTGTTTTTAATGACCGGTACAAGTATACAAGTCCTGCCTAAAGACACAGATATCGAACCTAAACTTAAGCATAGGGCATCAAGCAGAAATAAGACCAGGCTTTTTTCAGCAGCTTGAACTGTCACTCTCTCCCATTCTTTGACTCTAAGTTCCAAATAAAAGTATCCATTTTAAATAACTAGGTGTTCCCTGAGCACACGAGGAAAGAATGGACTAAGGATACTTAAACGTAACAGAAGAAAGACAACTGGAAAGGGAAATAACAGGCTTCATTTGTGTACAAAACAAATTCATTCATTAAAAGGAAAAGAATAACATGCTCTCTGACCATTTGGAGGAAAGTAGAAAGAAACTGGCTTAAACTGCAACAAGAAAGTTTAAACCGCTGTAAGGGCAGACCTCAGGGAAACCCTTCGATGAGGGCAGAAATGCTGCAGGACAGTCGTGGAAAGCCGTAACGCTGAACGGTACCACCCACAGATTCAACAAGCACAGGAATTGTGGAAGTGCCACTGGGTCAAGCTTTGAAGTGGGATAGTCTAGGCACCCTCTCAAGTGTACCCACCCTCTTTGCTTTTATTAGACCACGCCAGAGCTCTCGTTGGCAGAGGAATCGGAAACAACTCGACTTTATCACACTGTCTCTGCTTTGGCCAAAACACTGATGTCTCACTGCTGCTTCAGTTTCTCACTTTTCCTTGCAAGATCCATGACAGCACCACTGAGTAGGTGGGACCTGCTGCCACCTGGCACAGGCACACACTGCTTAGGAACATTTTCTTCGAGATATTTCTTACTGGCACAGTGCTACTACATCTGGGTACCACAAACTGAGCTCAAGTGGTGTCTTCAGGGGTCACCAGAGCAGCAGATAAGCTGGGTTATTACTCATTACTAAATTAAGGGTCACATAAAACAAGCCACTAGCAACAGTTACTGCGGAGCATTAGCAAATCCAAAAGGGTGATGGCAACACAGCCAGTTTTGGGAAAGGGGAAGAAAGAAAAGTTATTTCAAAAACTTGCTCATCACATAGTAGCTTTAACCTGAGCCTACTAACTCTGGAGATTCATTCCTGGGACGGGAGTGCTTAACTAGCTCATCCACCATTCCCCCTGTAACATCCTTCCTTCCTTACCAGTTCTTGGGCTTTGCAAAGGTTAGACACCGGGGCATACATAGCTTTTCCTGCAAACAGCTTTCAACAGCCACAGGCAGCATGAGATCACACTATTTTCTTCTACCAACTTACGTACTTGTATTTGTAGTCTACCACTTTGACCTCCAACGTTGACACTGTTTTCAAAGCATTCACCAGCTAAGGAGGAAAAGAAGACGACAATGACTTGGTGTTCTCCTTCAGCTAATTACTCCCCTGCACTCCTGATCATTTTAACACACTCCTCCTGCCCACCAGGGAATCACAGTGAGACAGAACACACTGTCACTGCCAGGTAAAGGAAGTTCCTCTCATGTTGTGCCTTCCCACCTGCGATACAGATGTTATTCCTGGCACAGCAACCCCTGGAGAGGAGACTCTGATCTCCTGCACTCTCCCAGAGGCCACCGTTGACTTTTTCACACTCTAGGACTCAATCCTAAATGACTCACACTAGTAGGAGTTTTGCCAGGAACACTGGGATGATGAGGTTGGATTCCCAAAAAATATTCCAGTACCTTAAGAATCAAATTGGTAGCCAGAAGGATTTTCCAAAACAACTTACAAAGTCAGACTCCTACTCACACAAGTAGCGAAACCAGGTTAGAGTCTGAGCTTCTAACCTAAAAGGGCTTTAAGTCTCAAACTCACAGCCAGCAGAAGAGGGAGAAAGAGGCAGGTGTTGTCTTTTACAAACATGTAGTAAAGGTAAGAGTAACTTCTGCCTTTCTGTCGTGTGCTCATTACCAGGAAACACCACCTGCAGCTGTGTGGGCGCACGCTGTGGGCAGCCTGGCAGGCAAGGCACAAACCTAGTCCTCTGTGCTCTATTCTGCCACTGAGCCACTGCATCAAACAGGCCTCAGCTTCTCTTTCTATAAGGTGGGATGATAATGCCAATTCATTCTTGTCAGGCATTGCCAGCTAAGAACAAAGACAGCCGTGAAAGAGTTCGATGTTATATGTTACAAGAGAAGCTACACCACAAGCCCACGAAGTTGCACGATTCAGAAACGTGACTCAATATGAAAATGACACCAAGTTTGGAATGCATGCACTCCGATACAATAGCTTATGCATTTTAATCTGCAAGCATAACAAAGGGTTTTGTTAGAGTCTTCAGCACTGGGGATGCTAGAAATAACAGGGAATCTGAAAGCAAAATAATCTAATTTCATCAGAAGGTCTACAGTGTTCGTTTGTTAAGAGGAAATACTTTTATTATTACGTCTGTAGTCTTTCATCAGATATTTAAAAAGGGCAGCAAGGTTCAGTGTCTGGTGTACACAAATGGAGACTGGCTAGAAGACATATCAGAAAAGATTAATATTAGCACCAAACATATTTGCCCAAGATTTGTCAGCAGATACATGTCTTGGCTGTGCCTGAAAAAAGTCAATTAAATAAGCAAAATTTAACTTCTGATAAATTTGTTTTGAAAATAAAAAGGACCACACCTCATTCTGGTTTAATATTTTCCGGTAATCTGTACTGCGTGCAAGTATTGTGACTCGAATTTTTCCATCCTAAAAAGAAAGAAGCAGCAGTGTATTAGCCATGAGGCAGACTTCACAAAAACACCCAACCAAAAACCAAATGCTTCCATATTTATTTTTGGCAATTATTTGAGCAACTAAATATGTTCCTTCTCCATGTAACAGATGATGTAACCACCTTAAAATTCGCATTGTGTTTTCCAACATATTAAAAGTGTCGAAAACTTTGTGAAAGTCTGACTATTAACGAAGAACAAAACATTTCCTGAAAGATTTATTTTATTCAGTACAAAAGAGCCTTTGTGCCGCACATTATACAGCAGTTTTTGAATTTTTTCAGGATGGCTTGTGCACAAAATCCTTGGGAAAAAATATTTTACTTCCATAACGCTTCCTCCTTCTACCTCTTTAAATTAATTGGACTCACAGGGGTAAGTGTTCCAAGTGAAATAAAGAGATTTAACTGCATGACTCCCATTAGTGTCAGCAGGAGAAGCATAACCGCGCAGCGCTTTGAATGTGTGCCCCTCAGCGATAATACGTAGGCTACTCTCTAGCAACTACTTCCAAGAAGCCCAGAACTGCCGTATCCATCAATGCAGCCGTTGCAACAATTTGCAAAAAATCCACCCGTGTGCACAACAGAGAAGCCCGGGGCCGGACAGATGGCACAGGGCAAGGACGAGAAGGACCAGATTGGATCATCTCCTCTGATCCGAGCTCCACAGGATATAAGAGGATCAATGCAGAGCAAGCTCACTGCCTGGCTCTGTGGGATCCCCTTGGCCGCAGCTGAGGAGAGGAGCTTGCCAGAACGCTCCAGAAAAGCCCAGGTACCACGTATCTTGCTTAACTGGGAAGGACACAAAGGCTTCGAGCACAGAGAGTGCAGATGAGGAAGAGTCTAGGGCTGGAAGGTGGATTTTCTAAAGCCTGTCCTACAGAAAAATGATATGAGGGCAACTCATGTTGGTCATGATGATGTCAGAGGTCTTTTCCAGCCTTAACAATTCTGTGATTCTGTGAACTTTCACAGACATCAACCTCTGCTGAAGGCCTTTATGGAACAGGCTGACTTACTGGTAAAAAAATCCCTAGCATCACAGGAAAGGTAAAAAAGCACACTGGATGCCCTTATTCCCCACTGGATCCAGCTTGCTAACGTCATTCCTCTGGTAAGAGCCATCAGCTCCATGTTGCAATTTCATTATTCAGTTATCATACCTTGGGTCCTTCTTGTGTGATATTCAGTCTGTGTAACACATGCTGAGAAAATGCTCTAAAAAGCCCTGTACCGTGACAGCCAGAGATCTGAAATTTAAAAAGCAATTGTTAATACAAAAAGTTATTTTGCTCAGAAAACCTCTCTTTGCGATCACTCTTTTGTCACTCCCGTGGAACAAAAGCTCAGTATCACGCATTGTGCTAAACGTGTCACTATTCACTGCTACACAAGTGGCACTTTCATTTAGAAAGAAAAATAACTCTCACTATGGTCTTACAGCCTGAACGCATGAGCTAATACCCTCAGGAAAGTCTGGGAGTGTACAAGCTCTTATGCTCTGCAAAAAAACCCAGTACATTCACAGCACCCCCACTTAAAGAGGAATAATGTCCATCTCATGAGCTGGGACACACACCCTCGTTACTATTAACCAACCAAAGTAACTTCAAAGTCCTAATCTTTAGGGAAGATCATTTCATTTGGAGTTGCGCAGACCTTCAATGCAGTGCATTTCACGGTAACTCAGACAGATAGTTGAGAGATTCATTAGCTGAGATTTTATGCGGTCACGCGCGCAGCCAGTTAATACGGCGGGTGGATGAAAAGCCCTCCCCAGGGGTGTGTTGTAAAACAAGCCGTATCGCATCCGAGGCAGTAAGGAGAACACTGCTTCTTTAAAGCACACCTGCAAAGGAAGATCACAAGAAGTTACACTGCACTGCTACCTTCCGCTGGCACAGCCCCTGCTCATTCAGCGGGATCACTGCTTGTAGGGAGCGAGCAATTACACACTCCTGTCAAATGAACAGAACAAAGACAATCCCGATCCCGAAAGAGCTCTCTGTTTAGAATGCTACAGATGCAACTGTGGAAGAGGTAAAAAACCACCCCCAAAACAGAACAAACATGAGCTAAATAGAAGAAAACCAGTTTAAGAGTTTAAGATAGGCTTTAAGTGATCTAAGAGACTAAAATGAGCTCTGAATGAATGGGTACATTTCTTTGGTGGGAGTAAAAATCTGTGTAATGATAAGCAGCAGGTAGACTAACAGCTGCAGGGGAAGCCAAACACCTCAGTAAGAATCAGAAGACTTAGAAAGACAGTACCATTTGAAAACCCTTAACCCTTCACTAGTGGGTCTTGCAGCACTGAAACCAATACATAAATAGAAGACACAGAAGACACAAAAGTTAGGTCCGTCACAGATATGCCACAGAATTAGGTTACAGCTCTGTCTCTCATTTGTCAGGTAGAACTCTCATGTTACGGAGATTAAGTATGCACAGAAAGTATTAATGCTTTCCTCTGAAACACCCATACCCACAAAAGGCTTGAGAAGCTGCCATATTTGCTGCCTAATGACAATGAATTAAAACAAAAGATAAAATTCCATACCCTTTTAGAGTCAAAGGTTTTCAAGTGTATTATTTCGTAATCAGTAAATGCCTTCCATGTCTCACTGAACAGGTCACCATAGCCATAGGAGCTCTAGAAGGAAAGGAAAAAGCACATAACCATTACACACATGCACACAAAAACTCTCTTCATGATTTACAAGTTCTGGGTATGACTCTTAATACACAGTCAGTATGTGCATCACAACCAGGGCACCTAAGGCAGCCTAACACAGAACACAGATGTTACAGAACACCGAATCCTGCGTTTACGACACCTAACTCAAATTTCCTGTCGGATGGTTAATTTTTAATAAAACGGTTCTATAAATTAGCAATCTAGACAAGTTCTTCAGCAGTAGATTAGTATTACTGAGGTCGAAGCAAGGAGTACTTACTACTTTTCCCAGAGACAACAGAACACAAGTTACATTTGAGTAACAGAAACATAGGGATGGTAAAAGGCATGAACTTCGACTCCTGAGACTAAGAAAACCCCCTGGAAATTCAAGTGCAGCAGTAATGCTTGAAGTTAAAAGTCCCAAAAAGCCTGTTTCACATTTGCCTCCGTTTTGGGATAGTCACCTGTACCACAAATAGAAAGTAATGATCTGATCTGACGGAAGAAGCAGCCAGGCAACTATGCTTTGTGTCACTTTGACAAACTACCAGGAAGTTTCTCTACAGGGCAGTATAAAACTTTCCCTTTGCAGCAGGGCTCTCTGGAACCTTTTAAGAACCATCTACTCCCTACAACACTGGCCTAGCAGCAGGAGGTCTTGCTTGTTAGAAATTGGTAACATCTCCTACACATCTGAGAGCTGAGTCACCACTTCTTGCTCTCTGAATGCAATTAAATATGACCTCATTAGCCCTGGTGCAGGTTCTCATTTTCAACTCTGGAGCTGATTCAGGCTGCTTGGACAGTTATGCGGGAATATTCTCAATGAGAAATTTGAAAGCAAGACTACAAGAGGCCACAGAAGAGAGCAGGCATCTAGCGAAATGTAGAAGGAATCTAAAGGGTGCCAGACTTCCTTCACTTGAAGAAATGCTTCCTTCCCTTTCTTCTGCCACTAATGAATTTCACAATCCATACGACTTCCTGGCCACCTGTAGTACAAGAACTGCTCTCTCAGATTAGAAGTAGAGAACTGATCTTCAAGGCTGAAAGTACGACTTTCTAACCCTATCTGCTCTCCTTCAAAGTGCTTTATAAACACTGCTTTCCTGCGCTTGCCGAGACCGTCTGCAAACCAGCACCCGCTGGATTACCTACTCATTTTCTGCTTTGTTTAACCTACAGCCAAGGGCATTAGTGTCTAACAAGAACAGTGCACTGATTCCACAGTAGCTAGAAAGTACGGCCAAATCTAATTACATCCAGGAAAAAAAGAATGAATAATAAGCTCAGGTCGATCTTTTGATCAGCACAGACAGCTCATCAGCAGTTAGTTGGTGCCATCATCTGGATGTACACGGTAATGAACGCAAACAGGCCGAGCAGTTAAGATTCATTTGAATGATCGCCCTGTGACAGTACTTACTTTGAACTGCACCTTCTTTGAAAGTTGATTCAGGAATGCGATGTAAGGCAAAGAGTTGCCTTTCAAAGTAATTTACAATGCTGCCTGACACCTGATCTTTTCAAAGAGCCATCAGAGCTGGATTAACAGGTCCCCGTATTACATCTAGAGCTGGCTTATCTGTTAGGTGCATTTATTTCAGCTTTAAAAAGAACCAAAAAAAAAAGGGGGGGGGTGTCTCTTCTAGTCAAAGAGGTTTCTCATTAAAAAACACGCAGGGGATATTTACAGTTCTGTACTGAATATTAGTTGCCCTAGTAGTAAAAACTCAGAAAGAAAAGCCAGCACGCGCACAAGGCAGGTGTGGGACAGTATCATAGTCACGAACTATGTTATTTCTGGACCTGATTATACATGTTATCTGGTATATTACAAATAATCTAGTTTTTCATTATTTAGTTTAACATTCTCCTACATAAAACTTAAATACTGGCCAGTAAAACTAATATTACTCTTAAACACAGTCATGGTTTCAACTCAGCAGTACAGCAAAAAGAGCCTCACTTAAAAACTTTTAATATGTCATCATGGCATTCTAAGAGGTGATTAAGAAATGTAACGGCAAGAAGGTTATTTAAAGCAATTGAGTATTAGATCCCGTTTTCATATATAAAGATTTCATTTAGTTGGGGTTTTTTTATTACAGGCTGCACATCACTGATACAGAAATACGCAAGGCTGCATTTCTATTTAAATATAGAGCAAAGTTTTGAGTAAAACTATTTCAATATTCTCAGAGAAAAAGCCTGCAGAAAACAGCACGAAATGCTGAAATGCTGCATATTAGAAATAGAGACATAATCATGTACTAGCAAAAGGTAACCTATGGAGTAGTGTTCAAACAGTACTTGATTCATTACAGAAAATCTGTTCCCTAACTAATGTTCATGCACCTGTATTAACAGGATCCAAAAACTTACTGGTTTCACGTGGTTAAACCCACAAAAAAAAGCTAAGGATTGGCTACTAAAAGCTTCGAAGTCTCCACAGAAATACACCCCGTTACGAATACGTTAAAAGCACAGCCGACTTACGGTGTCCCACATGACTATGTTGACATCAGTACTGAAGGAATTATTGATATGCTGTGTAATATAAAGATTGACGAAATCGCAGAAGTGATGGTACATGTTAACACCTGAGAAAGAAAGAACCGTTAGCAAAATACATCTCTCGCTCCACTTTTTATTCATTCATGCATTTTTTTCCTTAGCAGTATCCCGCGTTTTCTATTAGTTTTTCTCTGCTTCTGACTGAATGCTGCTTATACACCCTAAAACCACAAACATTTAAAGGGAAAGAATCAAGGTTGCTTTTACGAAGTTCACAAGTTTCGCATGCCATTTCTCATTAGAGTCTGCAGCTGCTTTCTGAATTACACGAAAGCGACTGCTGCTTTAACAATAGCTGGGTAGACACACAGGAAACACTAAAAACAGGCCTGATCTTAGCTCTGCTTTGTTAGGGCTCAGGGAAGCTCTGTCTGCAGGCCTACAAGACAGAACTTGCACTTGCGCACGAGCCAAAGCCCAAATAACTCCTCATTTTTATTCTCAGAGCATTCTTGTTCTTTCTTGGTTTCTTAAACGAACACCTTAGGACCACGGTGCATAAAAAACTACCATGGCACAAAGTCTGCTTTTCTTGCGAGTGAAGACCAGCTCCCAGTTTTGGAATTGTGAGGACACAGCCCCTTTCTGAACTTCTGACCAAAAAAGAGCTGCCACGATAGGAAATAGTCACTGGGTTTTGAACAGCAATTTTCCCCCCATCTCCCCTAAAACAAAGGAGCTGGACAAAATTCCCCCCTGAGCCACAGCTAGATGACCCCGTTCAAAGTGTTGCCTGGTCTAGTTGAGAGGCGTCCCTGCCCATGACAGGGAGGTTGGTCTAGATGATCTCCAAGGTCCCTTCCAGCCCAGGCCATTCTGTGATTCTGTGAAAGGTACAAACTGACAGCACAGCAACACTTCCAGGGGAACTGTTCAAGGGCCTGCAACAACTTTGCTCAAAATGTCAGATACTGCTCTGCAGGGGAAGAGAGGTAATTCACTTTACGGTGTCACAGGGTGAGAAGCCAGCAGACAACTATCCGGTTTAAACCCCAGCTTACCCTGGCAGCGTGTTTGTACGTTTACATCCTGAGCACTCCCTCTCACTAACATTTGTCTGCAAAATATGCTGCGTGAACAAAAAAAGTTGGCCAGCTTCAAAAAAATGTCAGATACCACTGGCTGTTTCCTGGAGAGGGTTTGGTGCTGCCCCTCTTTGAGTATCGCTTCCTTTTTCTTATCACTCAAGACACACAATCCTCAATGACTGAACACGTACAACAAGGCACGTACACCCATATCTTGTGTTTCGTGGTATGAAACCTGTCACCCAGAAACACAGCCAAAAATTAAAGACTCTGTAGAAAAAAAGTCTTTGGCCCAAAGTCAAGGACCGTTCAACCACAGTCAAGGGAATAATTGTGGGCAAGACAAGCGGCAGGAAATTTTTCTCTTTTTTTTTTTTTAAATCATGTGTGGGAAAATAAAAAGATTTTTAAATTTAAGTTTCTGAGTTCATCAATGGAATGATGAAAAAAAATAATTTAAAAGTCACATGATTTTTCAAAAATAAAAATATATTACAAGTGTACTGTACAACCATAAAGGCACAATGTAGATGGGCAAGTTGGATATGGGCTCTTTTTACCACAGCACTGCAGGATTAAAAAAAAATACTAAACTAAAGATGCCAATTACCTGCATCTAATTTCATGAAGTACGTTGGCTTTTCAACAACAATGTCACACTTCTTATCTTCTAGAGGCCTGAAGTTTAATGCAGTAAATGTCTGGAGCTCGGCAAACCTGCAAAAATTCCATCACACAGAACATGCTTTGTCATTAACACACTTAAACAAACGTACTTCCACATCTAAGATTTAGTAACTGTTCACCTGGTCCGTTTGATTTAACAGGACTGCTGAACACTGACAGAGTCTGAGAATTAAGATTATTTGAAATTGTAATTGAAGGTTCTTCAGGTTACAAGCTTCAAGAGGTTAAACACTGCCTTTGATCTCAGGAGCAAAGAGCATCTTTGATCTACAAATCAAGGCAGCAGAGATGTGAAAAAGAAAAGCCTCAGAGCTGAGATCTGTGGGCCTACCCAAACTGATCTGCATTACCAAAAACACTTCAGAAAGACCTTTTTGGTCGGAATAACAAATGTAGATGCGATATTTATTATTCCTGGATCTAAACAAGGCTGAGCAGTTGAGATGAAAACAGCAGGGCCTCCTGTGCAGCTATGCTTAGCTGACACTGACCATCAACGCACACCAAAAAAAAACGGTAGCATGAGAAAAGCATAAAAATAAACTCTCATATGGACCTTAATGGCTCCAACTCCCTCACGTTTCACCAACGAACCAGCAAGGCAGCTTTGAAGTGCTAACATGCAACCGGTGATACTTAACGAGCTCCCACACAGCACCCTCTGCACTTCCCGCTCAGCCTGTAGGCTGCTGCCCAACTCCCATTCCGAGCGCCGCCTCCCTGGGAACACCACAGGAACGGAGACCCAGACCGAGCGCTGCGCTGGCCCCAACACCACCAAGGACTGTGTGAACCGAGACACAAGCGCAAACTTCAAGATGTTTCACAACAAAACAAGTGTCTCCTTCTATCTGCAAGTTCAGGCACAGAACCAGCATCTTGTCCAGAAAACATCTGAAAGTTACAACTCCCAATTACAAAACATTTTCAGATCTTCCTGCTGCTGTAAAATAGGCAGGACACAACTACACACAGCATAGTTCAGAACATTCTGCACAGATGTAATTACCAGAGGTATCTAATAAGAACTCTCCAGTCAACCTCAGAAAGGAGCAACCACCTCCTCAGTGTGAAATCCCCTACACACAGATGCTAATGTCAAGGAAAAAAACCAAGAAAGTAAGTGATCTTGGAAGCAGCCTTGACAAGTGATTCTTACCAAGACTGTAGAGGGCTCTTGCGTTGACCTTCAGCCAAAAACGCTTGAACGTCGAGGGTGCAATGACCTCCAATTTCTCCCTTCTGGAAAAAGTCTTCTTTGAATCTAATGCAAATTAGTAAAAGTCTATCAGCTTTTGTACCACAGTGCTACAAGTGCTCCGCAATCTTGATTATGTACTCAAGCCAATGCTAGTCAGTCTCAATTCAGCAAGGTACTTCCTACATATTTAAAACCTGAGTAATTTCTTCAGCATCAATCAGGCATTTCCCACAATTCCCAAATAAAGACAGCAGCACCCTTGTCCAACACATTAATTTAGGAAACAGCATTAATCCACCCAGAATGTTATTAGGAATCACTTTCACATATCCAAATTAGTAATCTAACTAGATTTTGCTACATGATTTTACAGGAGCATCACTAGATGGGTTTTTGGTTTGTTCGTCTTTCGTAACAATTTTTCACTGAAATTCACCTCAGATTTCACAAGCGGGTTAGTAATCCAAGAATTTTATGCAACATAAGAGTGAGGTGCAAGAACAGGTTTCATGAAAATAAACTGCCAACTAAAAGCACTAAATTAGTTTTTAGGGTAGGCTAAGAAAATGTCAAAACCCACTGAAGTGTGCCAGCGCCACAGTCATGAACAAGGTTTTTTCCAGTCACGTGCCCAAGACACTGATTTCAAAGACAAAGACAAAATGGCTGATGTCAGCATCAGTGGTACAGGGTTTTCTTTACACAGATTCCCAATCTGTAATATTTTAATTTGGGATGTGCGAGATCTGGGTTCAGATCTCTCTTCAGTCTCACTGGATCTAAAAATGCAATTCTAGGTTCTGGTATAAAGGCACCTTGCATAGGAAAGGTCATCTTGGTGCCTCATATAGAAACAATTCTACTTTGCACATCATCTGATCAAGAAAGGATGTGACCGAAGACACAGAAGGGATATGACTGCAAACACAGAAAAGTCTCCTCTCTTCCATCATAAGGGAGAATTTCAACCAGTCGTCATCATGTCACAAAACTGACAGCTTAGGTTTTCAAATAACCTGTACTGCTGACAGCAGCAGCAGCAGGCAATCAGGATGGGTAGATCTCAACAGCAACGAGTGCCTGATCCGCAGAAAAGCCCATGGCAACAAGCACACCGGTTTTATTAAACAAATTCTGAAGTCCTTTCCCTGCCACCCCTTAGTTTTATTATAACATAAGCAAATCAGAGACCTGTCATGGTTTCTCTTTACATTTCGTAAATCAATGTACAAGTTCGTTGCTCTGCAGTGCTGAAGGTACCGAGAACAGGTCAGCGACGAATCTCCCTGTTAAGAAAAGAACAGGCAGGAATTCATCAATAACAGAAATTATATTTAAAACCAAGTGAAAAGTATCACATCTCTCAGAAATACTTACTGTTGCTGCAGGCTTACAATGGGTTTTCATTTCATTGAGCCTCTCTTGAACGTAACCAAAGTCAGCTTGTTTCCAGAATATCTGTTGGGCTGTCTCAATATCACTTGCCCTGGTGTATGAAAAAGAGAGGAAAAAAATCAAGGTCTGTTGCTCAATTCTAGTAATAACTTTGAACAGATAACATTTTTTCCACTGAAAATGGAACAGAAGAACCAGCCAGTTACTTTACTGACATTCAAGATGCAAAACAGGAAACAACTTATCAGCTGCATGTAAGTGAAAACATCAATGGCAATTTAAAGCTATTCTCCCGTAAAAGGGCGTATATTTTTTTTAACATTTTTTTCCTCTGTGTTTTAAGCTAAGAAAAGAAATCCAGAGTTATTTCAGGAATCTGAATTCAAGGCTAAATCAGAATAATGAAAACATTGTGGCAGGAAGCATTTCAAATAGTATTTTCTTCCTTAAAAAGTTAAATTGTCCAAAGATGTACGTTATGTATAAATACACACGCATGTATATATATACACACATATCTCAACAAAGAATCATCCTTTAAACTCTCATAATACTGCTAACTTCACAGCTAATATGAAAGTTAGTACTATATTTTAAATTTTTTTTAACGTACTGTACTTTATACATTTCAAATGAAACATACCATCCAGTTTCAACATAATCGCACACTGGGTAACTGAACCTGTCATCCGATTTGCAAGATTTCTCATAACCCCAGCAGGATTTTAGTTCCTTCAAGTATTTCTGTAATACAGAATAATTGAATCAGGTTATGCGACAGCAAAATGGGAAATTACTCAAGTTAGTTTTTAGCTTATAAACCGGCTCTGACTAATAAATCTTCCACTAAAGGCTTTTGGTTTGGTCTGTTTTCAAAAAGAAACACCACCCAGATTCTTTATGCACAACTGAGGTTCCAAAGAAGACCCTCATGCACAGCAACGTTATCCTTGTCTTCAATACGTCTGTTCCAGGACAACCAGTATCCCTGACCCAGTAAGTAGGATTCCAAAACTCTCCAATCACTGATACAGGTAACAGAGCTAAGCTCACACAACCCACAGTGCTGCAAGCCCCAGGCTGGGTTTAGCACTGCTCCCCAGGCAAATCTAGAAGCACTGAGCTCTGTGGCGCTGCAGAACGCCAGAGAAGGGGGAGCACAGCTCCCACCCTCAGCGCTGCACAACAGCTCCAGCCTGAGAGACACTAGAACTGCTCCCGAGCCACGCTTGGCCCAGATCCCCGGCTTCGCTGTCCCCACTTCAGGCAAATGAATTATGTGCAACCACAGGGTAACATTAAACCAGAGTTTCATTGATTTGCCTGTACTCTTGGCAGTTCCACAAAACTACTACAGCATGCTAAAAATCACAAGCCTAGAAACTACCAGCTGTACTTGTTCCAAACACCTTTTACAGGCGCAAGAGTCATTCAGATTAAGATCATCACTTTAGTTCTGTGACAATTAAAAGAGGAGGGATTAAAAACCCTCCAAAACAGTGAGTTAAAAATCCAGCTTTGTGACAGCACTGGATTCAGGAAAAGCCCCATGCAACCATTTCAAAAGCAACAATCCCAACTCCCAGTAGAACCGACTAACTGTCAAGCAGACCAACTCATCACCAGCTTCAACTGCTTGGACTCTTAAAACCACCCCAACATCGCATTTGAACAAATCAAGCTAAAAAAGCAAACCTACTTTATAGGGGCAGCGAGAGTCCTGCTTACAGACACCAGCAACGTGCTGGTTGCTGTGCAGAAAGTACGGAATATGCTCATCCGGCAAGTTGATAGCTTTGTATCTATATAACGGCTCTTCCGGAATGCTTTTGAATTCAGTAGGATGTTCGGCTTGGGAATTAGCCAGAACTTCTTGCAGTAGCAATCCAAATACGAGCAACATGAACATGGCAACCTAAGAGTTCAGTACTTACAAAAAGAAGAAAGAAAAAAAAAAAGACACTTAACATGTCTGCAGCATAGTACATTTCGAGCGTATAAGGCAACACTCAGCCAAAATCAGTCACATCATCAAAGAATTTGTACTTGTATTTCTGGGTAGGTTTCTTTTTCCTACGAAAAGTAAACTTTCACTAAAAGACTAGACTGTACAGCCTCAGGATTATCTTTGAATCATTAGTCATTGAGGGTTATTACGCACTACCAACCCACAGTCAAACTAAAGTGGGTGTGTTTACTTTAGCTAAATCCCACGGGATCCCGGGAGTTCAGATGTGGAAACTAAGTATAGAGCATATAATATCCAGCCAGCAAGAAGAACATGGAGAACTATTGGGGGGGGTGAGGGGGAGGGATGGGAAGAGGAGGAATTTTAGTTTAAAAATGAGTATAAAATTTTCTCCACTTTGGAAGAAACTCATCATTGGCTGAAGGAAAACTATGCAGTCACAAATAAATGGTCAAATTCAAGTCTGTTTCTGGATGCCTGTTTTTAGTACTTAACTTCATGTTAAAGAAACTTCGAATGCCAAGTTATACAACTAAAATTAACTACAGGCTCACACATATCTCTACACTCTAAAGCAGAACACATTCATTCCTGGTAATACAACCTTCCCATCACACAGCCCTGCTCTGAACCATTAAACTTCCTGAGGAAAAAAAAAGGAAAAAAAAAATAAGGATGGTCTGTATCTAAAACCCGCTTTTTCGGCATTACGATTTGCCAAAACCTGCATGTTCGCTTGCAACTGAGAGTCTTCAGCAGTATTGCTGCAGGGCGAGTGGTTTTACCTGTTTGGTTTGAGGAGAGAACTGCTTTGGTTTGAGGAGAGAACTGCTCCAGCCTTCCCGAGCGCACGGAGCCGGCGGCACCAGGCTGGAGCTCGGCACCTCCTGCAGAAGGCGGCTTCCTCAGGACGCAGCGCTGCTGCTCCAAAACATTCACAGCCATGAGAACAACCTCCCAACAGCCTCGCTGACCCGTCGGGGTGCTCGGATCCCGGCCAGAGAGCGCTTCCCTTTCCCTCTGGCACCGCGGGAGGGATCTCGGGAGGGTCACACCGCGCCCCACCAAGCCCAGCTAGAACCCATCGCTGCGCTGTCCCCCTCCCCAGACCG